AGTTGGCTATGTTCTTCGTAAGTATAGAGTAGAAGTGGTGGTTGTTATTGAGACAAGGGTTAGGAAAGTAAAAGCTGAGGAGGTAGTGGAAGATTTCTGCCAGGACTGGAAGAAACATCTGAATTATGTAGACTCTTAGCTTGGGCGAGTATGGTTGTTATATGATCCAGAAGTGGTGGATGTAAGGATTCTGCTCCCTAGGAAGCATTTTGTACATTGCCTGGCTACCTCGATTAGTGGGGAGTCGTTATTTTTCACTGATGTATATGGCTCTAATGATGAGATGGAGAGGAGACAAACTTACCAGGAATCGGTTCAAACAAAGATCAATGGAATTCCATGGTTAGTGAGTGGGGACTTTAATGTTGTTTTGACGCCTGAGGAAACTTCCAATCTTCGTGACAGAACAAGTTGTATGGATGAGTTCAGTAACTGGGTGGCTGGTATGGATTTATTTGATCACAGAATGGTAGGGCCTCAGTTTACTTGGTCTAATAAACAGACAAATAACCCTATAGCTAAAAATTTGGATAGAGCATTGGTCAATGAAGGTTGGTTTGATACATTTCCTGACTGCATAACGGATTTGCTAACCGCTCCTTTTACTGACCATTGTGGTATACTGGTAGCAACAAAGCCTGGTCAGAAATCCTTCCCAAAACCGTTTAAGTACTTTGAATTTTGGGTGGAGGATCCTCAATTTCTTCCTCTAATTCAAAAAGCTTGAGAGCTGGAAGTTCAAGGATCCCCTATTATGATGGTAAAGGCAAAATTGAATGAGGCCAAGAAGATGTTGAAGAAGTTTAATAAAGAATTATATGGGGATCTGAGTGGCCAGGTGAAGACTATGGAAAATCTGCTTAATTTGGTGCATATTAGTGCCTTGGATAGCCTGGGGAATAAGTTTTTAAGGAGGTTGCTACTCTGGAAGCTAGGCTGATTGAATGATTGAAGGCTGAAGAAAGCATGTATAAACAGAAATCACGTATTGACTGGCTTGCTCTGGGGGAATGTAGTACTAATTACTTTCTTCTTGCAGTGAAAATCCGAAATGCCAAGAAAGCAATAAGGAAGTTGGTGACTGATTCTGGTGAGGAATTATTTTATAGTGAGCAGATTGTAGCTGAGGTAGTTCGCTTTTATTCTTCATCCTTTGGCAAGGTAGATTCACAAGTACACCAAAATAGAGAGAAACTAGAAGGTTTAATTCAGAAGCGGTTATCTTATGATGAAAGAGACTTTTTATTCCTTCCCTTTACTTCTGAGGATGTGTTGAATGTAGTTAAAAATATGGATCCTCATAAAGCCCCGGGGCCAGATGGTTTCTCAGCTGGATTTTATAGAAGAACCTGGTCTATTATTGGAGAGGATGTTACAGCAGCTGTGCTGGATTTCTTTCATTCGGGGCGTCTTCCAGGTAGTGTTAATTCTGCTGCCATTACTCTTCTGCCTAAAATTCCTTCAGCTTGTGCTCTTAAGGATTTCAGGCTCATTTCTTGCATCAATTTGCTTTACAAGATCATTGCTAAATTACTGGAAAATCGCTTGAGAAAGGTCCTCCCCTCGGTTATCAGTGGTAATCAGTCTGCTTTTATTGAGGGTAGAAGAATTGTTGATAATATTCTTATGGCCCAAGAATTGGTTAGTGGATATCATAAAAGACAGTTGTCATCGAGGTGTGCTATAAAAGTTGATTTGATGAAGGCGTTTGACTCGGTTAATTGGGAATATCTATTCTTAATGATGTCTGTTATGGGGTTCCCTGGAAATTTCATTAGATGGATATCTTTGTGTGTAAAAACAGCCCGGTTTAGCATATGTGTAAATGGTGGTTTATGTGGTTATTTTGGGGCTAAATGTGGGGTTAGACAGGGGGATCCTTTATCTCCTTATCTGTTTACCATTGCCATGGAGGGTTTAACTGTTGTTCTTGATGATGCGGCTCATTCTGGTCTTATCCCCTACCATCCACAGTGTAAGAGGGTGCAGCTAACACACCTTAGCTTTGCTGATGATCTTTTAATTTTTACTAAGGGATCTGGAAGGGCTATTGCTAGTGTATAGAACCTGCTTCATGAGTTTTATGAGTTGTCTGGACTTCAATGCAACTCTCGCAAGTGTGAAGTTTATTTTAGGGGGTGTTCGGTTGATTTCAAGCATCAAGCTCTGGAGATTTCTGGTTTTCAAGAGGGTAAGCTTCCAGTTCGCTATTTGGGACTCCCTCTCATTTTTGGCAAACTTTCCTCTAATGATTGTGCTAGGTTAGTGGACAAAATCACTCAGAAAATTAAAAGCTGGAAAGTCAAAAAGCTTAGTTATGCAGGCCGGTTGCAACTTATATCGTCTGTTTTTATGGGAGTGCTGCAGTACTAGATGCAAGTATTTTTCCTACCCAAAAAGGTGCTTAAGCAGGTACATAAGGTGTGTTCTAACTTCTTATGGCATGGTGGTGATGAGGGGAAAGCTAAAGTTAGCTGGGACAGATTAGCAAGGCCTCGAAAAGAAGGAGGAGTGGGGCTTAAGGAATCAGGCATGTACTACCAGGATGATTTGGCTACTGCTTATGCAAAGTGGGACTATATGGGTCGCCTAGATCACACAGTATCGGATTAAAACATGGAGTATTTGGACAATAAGGTCCACATCTAGTAGCTCTTGGACTTGGAGACGCATTATTAAAGTTCGATCTGATGTTCAAAGGCACTTCTCAGGGCAGGGTAGTTCATTATGCTGGGATGGCTCTCCTATGCAATGATATTCGGTTGGTCTAGTGTGAGACTCTATTCGGATTAGGTGGCCAAGGGTGGATTGGCATAAACTGATCTGGGGAAAGGGTTTTCTACCTGGACCTAGTTTCTTAGCTTGGCTAATTCTCCAAGATAGTATTGTCACAAAGGATAAACTGATAAAATGGGGAAAACAGATTGATAGTACCTGTGTTTTATGTTGCAATCTGCCTGAATCGAGGGAACACCTATTCTTTGAATGTTCTTTCTCGAAGGAGCTACTAGTGCTACTCCACTGTGAGGACTGGTTCTGCAGGGGTGATTGGACTAGCACTTTGTCAGCAACTTGTATGCTCAGTCGTAAAAACACAGCTGCAGGGAGAATGGTGGGGTGGATTTAGTGCTTAAGTGCTGCAACTATCTGGAAAGAACGGTGCAAGCGGGTTCATGGAGATGCTGGCCGAAGTGCAGAGCTGCTGGGCAAAACGACTCTATAGGATTTACAATTTATGAGTATGATTAATGGTAATGTGCAGCGTGATATGCATGTGTTAGGAATGGGTCTTTAAACAGATTGATTGGTGGGGTTGTAGTGGTGTGGTGATTTGAGAGGGGTCTGCCCTCTTGTTTCCTTTGTTTCCATGGGATGTGTATTGTCCCTTCGTTGTATCAGACTCTTGCTTTTACTTGTTAATGAGAAGAACTTATTCAACGGGGGGAAAAAATACCAAAGATATTATTGTTCCAACTTCTAAGTTTGGGAATTGTTTCTAGGAGAGCAAGATTCAAGTCCATTTCTTTCATCTAATTTCCTGCAAAAAAAAACCAGCAAACTAGTCGTGTAAAAGCCACCACACTTCAAATTTAAACGGTTCATAAGCAAATTGTTGAGGCGGGTGGGAGAATTTAGAGGTAAGAATTGACTGGTGATCAACATGAAACTTGGGGAGATGTTGCACAGTAGCATTGGGGAACAAAGAGTTCCAATTGATGATTTATACTATGTTTGGCTAGGGGTGCAAATGGAGGGGGTGCAAAGGTAAATGTCATTACCCCCATTTGGTTAATTTGGTGTTTGGGGGGGAGCAAATAGGAGGTAAAATCACTATTCCCCTTACCCCAACCCACCAAAATTTGTGTTGCAAGAAGAGAGAAAGGAGGAAGAGGTGAGTGTGTAAAATTGATGTTAAATTATTATAATATTTATTATTATATTTAAATAATTATATTTGAATAATAGATATGTAAATGATGATTGTTATAATTAAGAAAGTAAGAAAAATTATTATTACGATTGAATCATAAATCATAATTATTATAATTTATTATTATTATAATAATTATTAATGTAGAATTTGCATGTGGAACGCAAGTTTGTCAAATTGCCTCCAATTGTTGAATGTGTTTGACGAAATTTGACTCAAATTTGTGTTGTAAAGTATAAAGAGAAATTGTCATGTAAAAAGTAGAACGTAAAAATGTTTGGTTGACTTAGGTCAATTTGGTTGACTCAAATTTGCGTTGAACGTATACAGAAGAAGTGTCACACATGTAAATACCGAAGAAAAATGGATCGATTTGACATTTGAAGCGGACCACATACGACCAAATGCAATAATGATCCTATTCTTGTTCCTAATATGTCTATCACTATTGAATCGCAATTCTCATGAGTAAGGACCGGTCTGAACAAAACCAAATTGAACTGTTGCACACCCCTACATAGTTCGGATTCATCGTTTGACTTCGGGAGCAAGTTTGTTAAGGTTCTTCTAGTCATATCGAGATCACCATATCGACAAACCAACGCTCGAATGGGAGACATGAGCTAGTTATATGTCTTGGCCATAGGTTAGGCTTCAAACTTCGAGATTGCTCGATCAATGATTATTACAATAAAAATTTACTATTTAAGCATTATTATCTTAATAATTATTTTATTAATATTTATGATTACTATATATAATAGTGGTAGGGAATTTTCGTTTGTTTTTTTTAAATAATTTTTAATAAATATTTTGAGAGAAGGGAGTGTTTTAAGGTATGCGACTAACCGAACCAAAATCAATAACCGACTGGTCGGTGGTCGGCTAGCCGTGGTATCCCTCACGATCGGTGGTCGACAATAAAGATGTTTTCTCGGTTTAACCAATAACCGAGAAATTGGGTTTTATTAAACCGAAACCAACCGACCGACTACTACCCCTAAATTTATCCCTCCTGCTTACCCCTTCTACAATTTGCTCCTTAACTTACACCCCCTAGAATCTGTTGCCAAAAATACTATGAATGGGTTATGTCGGTGATGACCCCCTGTCAAAAGAATAAATTGATGTGATTTAATTGGCCACCTCATAGTCACAGATACCTCCGCAGGCACATGCCCCCATCCCATTCTCGTTTTTCATCCCATCCGTCCATCCCATCGTCATCAACGGTGCTGTCATGCATTAACTCTCCAATCTCCAATGACTCCCCCAAGTCACACCTCCTAATCACTGTACACCTGCCCGCACCCTAGCACTCCTCCTTTTAAATCCCACTTCTTTCACTCTCCCTCCCTCTCTAAGTCTCTACGGGAAGGAAGGAGTTGAGTTGAGTTGAGCTCTTCGCCAGATTTATTCCGCCCACCAGATCTCGAGATATTTCCAATTTCTCCCGTACCGGATTCCCCGCAAATCGCCATTTCCAATGACCTCATCAGCTCAGATTCCGCTCTCCAGCCACGACTCCGGCGGCGCCGCCACCCAGGCTTCCGTGGTCGCCGCCGTCCGCTCGTTCGTCACCCGGCTCTACGGCGCAATCGGCAATTCGCTCTCCCACCGCCGCCCATGGACGGAGCTCATCGACCGCTCCGCCTTCTCCAAGCCGGGCTCGCTCTCCGACGCCACCACCAGGATAAGGAAGAACTACTCCTACTTCCGCGTCAACTACATGACTCTGCTCGCCATCGTCCTGGCGGTTTCCCTAATCTCCCACCCGTTCTCCCTCATCACTCTCCTCTCCCTCCTCTCCGCCTGGCTCTTCCTCTACACGTTCCGCCCCTCCGACCAGCCCCTGGTCGTAATGGGGCGGACCTTCTCGGATCGGGAGACGCTCGGGATCTTGATTCTGGTGACGGTGGTCGTCGTCTTCCTGACCAGCGTGGGGTCGCTGCTGATCTCGGCGACCATGGTTGGGTTGGCAATTGTGTGCGTCCACGGCGCGTTTAGGGATCCGGAGGATTTGTTCATGGACGAGCAGGAGGGAGGTGGTGCCGGGCTGTTCTCGCTCATCGGAGGATCGGCCGCAGCGGCCGCCGGGAACAGCATGATGTCGCGCGTGTGAGGTTGATTGGTCACTGATGTTGATTTCTTCACTCTGTTGTTATACTGTGGGGTTAGGGTTTTAGAAGTGAAATTTTCGAAACGGATCTGCAGTGGTATTACCACTGGAATTGCAGTTTTCGAAATTGAGATTGCTAATTATTTCATAATGTGTCATTGTAAGATTTCATTTCCGATCTCATTTGTTGAGGTTTTACTAATCCTCTTCACTCGATGTATTTCTGTAACTATGTTTCATCGCTACTAATTGCCAAAATGGTATTGCGATTTGCAAGCTACAATGTGTTAATCTCATCACTCATCACCTTATGTAGGCTGACAAAAATCGATCTATAGTATTGGGTGCATGATCCAAAGAACGTGTAGGTTGACACCCTTGACGCTGACGGTACTACCGATCGTGGCGAAGGCAGAAGCCATGCCGGAACTGATGCAGAAAATTGTCAAACGTATGCTGGTGCTGATGAATCTACCACGATCCACTAGCAGCATAGGCTTTTTTTTTTTTTTTTTTGACAAAAATGGCAGCATAGGCCGATGTCGAACTATTCACCAGAAGAACGATCCAGCAGCAGTGTAGGCAGCTGCCCGATTACAGGACGTACGGTCCATCGATACCAGGCTACGCTCAATCAAGCTAACCAGACTGCAATCAAACAAGACTTTTTCCCAGGCGTACAGGCCGTTGTTATCAATCTAGCCACCATCAAGCTATTTAGACTGCAACCAAACAGGACTCAAACGCCACCATCAACACAGGTAATAACAGGACTCAAAGCTTGCAAATGGAACTTAGATAAATATATGTTACAAAAGTGCTCCCCTTGGCTTTTCTATTTTCTTTGTTTAATTGTTCTGTGTTTCGACAAATTGTAAATACATGAGTTCCTTCCTACTTTGCGTAAAAAGATCAAACTGAGAAAGCTAAAAAAGGAAAGGAAGGAAGACAAAAGGGAAAGAAGAGAAGCAAAGAAGAAACAACGAGAGCACAAGAACTCGGAATGTACAGCTAGCTCCTCATGAATACTGAGTTAAATACATTCTAAGCGCTGTCCGTTGCATATCCACTGGTCTCCTCCGCAACCTTAGCCCACACGTTAGCAATTTTCTCGGCGTAGCCAACCTGTGTACAAATGAACCACATGGCCACACAAAATGAAACGACACTACAGATCCCACTCAACAACTGTCGCAATAACAACCTGGGAAGCTTAGATCACGAGAAAGAAGCAAGGACCAAATGAACTATTATAGGAGGGTACCTGGTTAAGCACAAATCCTTTCAACATGTTGGAGAAGTCGGCATGTTTTTCCGCTTCCATCCTTTCCAGTTCGGTCCTGTTATTTTCCTGCGATGATGATGTCAAGAACTCAGCTGCTTTGAAGAATCACAACACATGGCTGAGTGTACTAACTTGTCAAAACTGGAAACCAACGCAAGTCAAGGGCATGAGACATGCGGAACATAAAATGCTCAGGAAAGAGCAAACACATGCTACAAACTGCAGTATACTATCATGGGCAACTGATGAAGTTGAGCCATGCCTCAGCAGAATCAAGATACGTCCTGTCATATTTTACAGACACAAGACACTCGAACCAAATGTTCAACTGAGGTGGATAGCCAGTAACAAATGCTGCAAAGGAAGCGAATGAGTCTGGGAACCAGATATCCCAGCATCAAAGCTTGAGAGAATATCCATGTTCCATCTCCCATTGATAATGCATAGTGCATTAATCATATTTCAATTTTCGCAAAACTAAATTTCACCAAACTATTATGGAAACTAAGCAAATTGAATCATAATTCATGAGTTTTGAGCAGCCAATTCTGAGCTAAATCTAGAACCATCAAGTCCAAGGATAAGGATAGCACTAACCAATAACACTTGGTGCCCATAAATCTAAAGAGCAAAGGTTATCAGTAACGGCAGGGGGGAGTTTTGAGGGCACATTATCTGTCTCAATTACTTCCTTCCAACCAAACAATAGACTTGTCTAGGTTGCAACATGGTAATGCAAAATTTCCATACTCTAAAGCGGATGAAACCGTATTCAGCACTACTATGGAAAGTAGCCAAATAAAGCAGCTTCACTTGATAATGTTAGAAAATGGAGAAAAGAAACAAATATCTACAAACGAAGAAACTTGTACCCAACTTTTCACTTCAATCAGGAAAGGAGTTAAAGATACAAAGACCTGCCAATTCACCTGCCATATTGAGTGTCTTTACACTAGAAATTCATATGGAATATCAATTCACACTGGCAGTTCAACGTATGGAAATAAGAAGTAAGATCAATTGGATTACCAGAGACATCGCCATCATCTTAAGACATTTGTCTAACAAATGCATGGTTAAACATGGTATTTGAATTGGGTGAAAACAACCAGATTCCTAGGTTTCAACCTTCAGAACTTTCACCAACTAAGAAAAACATGGTACTCCCACTTAAATAAGAAAGGTGGTAAATGTGGCCAGTGGAGCATAGCTTTCAACCCTGATTTAAGGTGCGGGCAAAGAAAACTCCAAATGAGCAGATGAAGTGGCAAAACAGAATTAAGCTTTGAAAACTGAAAATCCCATCAGACAGAAGAAGGGTGCGTGAATGCAATAGGCTTGCACACTAATGCAGCAACATCAATGGTATAGATGACTGGATATTTCCCAAGAGTTGGATAAAGTATCTGGTCTACCTTCCAATTCAGACTCCGTTAAACACAATCCACGAGAAAAAAAGCATGAAAGCCACAAGAGCGAGCTTATGAAAACAGAATGCCAGAACGACAGAAGAAAAAAAAAAGCATGATTGCTATTCTCAAATAAGTCTGAATCCTAGAGCTAACAGCTGATACGTCGAGGTTAAAATGTCAACTTGACAACTATAAGCACGAGAAGACATAAGACAGACATAGGTGCTAAGTTCACCGAAGGGACTTTACCAACAAGCCCAAGTACAAGTGTAAGACAGTTAAAGGGAAAATGGAACAAGACTACCAGCGATCGACAATTGAGAAGATAGGTAATTCGGTTACTGGAATCTCCTATTATCGGAAACATAAAACACTAATCAACAAGTTCCACAGGAAAAAAAACAAAACAAAAAAGGCAATTAATGAGGAAAGAGTATGGATTAGGTTAATTGAGCCAAACAACAATGGACAAGCTAAGATTAAACAGCCTCTGCTGCAGAACATCAATGGTTATGGCAACAGGAACTCTGGAATGCAAATGAAATGGCTCTCCCATCTAGTGAAAACCATAAACAAAGGCCCTGACAGAGAAAAACATCATAAAAGGAAATTGATAGGTTAAGCAAAGAATATATGTGATTCGACTAGGTTTTATTAGGCACAGAGAATGTAGGAAAGAGAGGATTCTGTTTGAGATGCTTGCTGGAGATAGCAGAAATATATTGGAAGATACCATTTTCGAGCGGGTGCATCTCCAGTCACAGGTGGATTTTCAATTGAGAATTCACTTGCCAATGCTTTTAAGAATCACTCAAAGAAAACAAGTCAAACACTTGAATAAATCCGCAGTAATCTCTCTTGTTTTTTGTCTAAATCTATCAAAACCTCCTTATATAGGAATTACAAACTTGACACCAAGAAATCTATTTCCTTGTCAATACTAATTAAACACTAATCTTCGTAAATGATTTTTGGTTACAAGACACCATAAAAACCTTATATAAGGAACAATAATAATAACAAATAAATTTACAGCAAGATCCATGCACAACAACGTGACTCGTATCGGACCAATGAATTCTAGATACACTGCAGATATCCTGATAATTATACACGTTCCAGGACACAGCAACAACAACAAAAAGATGAAAATCTAACCCAGACAAGACATTCAAACATAATTTATTATAAAATTCTCACAGTACCTTAATCCGCTCGTACTCTCTAACTGCAACACTTTTAGCATCTTCAGTGGCTCTTATAGTTTCTTTCAACTCCTCTATCCTTCGAATCCTTGATTTGTCACCACCAAATATCTTTGATGACGCAGCTTCAAGTTTCTCAGCCCTTGTATGCAGAGACGACAATTCTGATAGAAGAGTTTGCACAGTCAGCAAAGCACTAGAGCGATCGGCAAATGCACCATGAACTGATAGCATCAACCCAAGATACTCGTGCAGGGTATCCTGCCAATTGAAAGTCCAAAAGCAAAATCAGGAAGTGTCCTTCAAACATAGAATATTCACTTCCACAGCACAAAAGCTAGTATGGCTTCATAGAATGTGGGCCTAGTGAAAGCCAGTCTAATAAATGAGCATCTCCACCAATGTCACCTTATCATCTCTACGTTATCCAGATAGTAAATCAAATGCACTCTTAAGATATCAAGCAGAACGAAGAGCCCAGATTCAGTAATTTACGAAATGCTTAACCGTCTGAGCATTCAGTTCCCTGTAGAATCTGCTAGCTTTGACAGCAGCTGTAGCTACGTTCTTCATGTCACCTGCCCTTACTCTTTGTGATTCAAACATAGCTTCCTCAGTCTCAAACTTTGTCAATTTAATGAATGCTAACCCTAATTCTCCCATCGTCTCCCCCATGTCTTGCTGTGCTTTCACCAACGACTCCGCCTGCAAAACAAATTCCCCACAAACAACAAATTCACCAACAATGAAACAACTGTTCAAAAGCAGGAAATATGGAGAGAACAAATACTTGATGCATATCAAACAATGACTTCTACTTAACCTGCTGAGAAGCATTGCTCAGTTGCAGCTCAAACTCGTTCATCTTCTCCTTCTTCTCTAGGAACTCCTTATCTTCCTCCACTACAGGTGGTCTTGAACCACCCCAATCATTAGAAACAGACTGTTTCAATTCTTTGAACAGCCTCAACAAGTCTCTCCCTCCTTTGGCTGGCTGGACTACATCCTGCGGGGCTACCGTCGATCCTTCTCCAAATAACTGCTTCGGTAGATTCACTGCACCATCAAGCATCCTGGAAGCCACATCAGTGCTTGTAGCCAACGGCAACTTCCCTTGCACCTGCAAGAACACCTTCAACTCATCGCTGTTCCTTATGATCGGATGCGCAGCGAGCCTTCTCAAATACTTCTCCAACGCAACTCTCCTCTGTTCTACAAATTCCTGCTTCTGCATCACCTGGCTCTCCACTACACTCTTGTCTGGTCTAGGCGGGATGAAGAACCCTCGATAAGCCTCTGCCAGCCGATCCGATAAAGTGACCACGTCCTTGAATCGCCGCCGCACCCCGAATTCCGATCCATTGAACTCCGGGATGTTGGTTCTCGTCGTGATTAGATACGTGACGTAGGTGCTAGCTCCGGGGACAAGTGAATTCGAAGTTTCCTGCTCCTTCTGTGGATTGGAGACGGTGATCTTGATGTAATCGGAGCTGGAGGAAGGGGATCTCGAGAGAGAAAGTGAGGAATCGGAAGATCGACCGGGGCTATCGATGCCATTGATTTCGCTGCCAGTATTCTCATCAAACGGACTGAAGATGACATCGGCATAGGCAGGCGGTTCAATGTAGGAATTGTTATCGTGCGAGAGGCTAGGGTTTCGGAGATCCCGGTATGGTTGAGGAGCAAGTAAAGGATCCGAATCTGCCGGCGTCAATGGCGGGGAGAGAGGGTGATGCGTATCGGCGAGGGACGACATGACGCTGCGATAATCGGAGAAAGATTTGCTGCCTCCGTTGCCGTTGGGATTGTCGGAAGGTTCATCGAGGACTAGGTTTTCCATCTCTTCTCTAGAGGCGAAGAGTTGAGATTCTGCTTCATTCTCTGATCCCATCATTTTCACTTCGCCTTAACCCCAAGCACTAATTCGCCAAATCCTCCACGCTTATTCAAGGCTCTGAAACCTCCGTCCGCCGGTGAAACTGATTGAAGCAAAGGAAAGTCGAAAGCAGCGGAAAAGTACAGGCGAGGAACGGCGGCGTCGGAAGTCCTGGAGGCGGATGACGTCAGGTGAAGAAGAGACGATGAAGGCGGAGCATGAGTGACGAGGTGAGATCTTTCCAAGCTACTGGATGACTGAAGTCTTCGTTCCTCCGCCGTAACGCCGGGGAGCAGAGGCCCTGTGGCGTTTGTTTATTCTGTTTGGACGTTTGGTTTAGAAGCTACGAGCCTACGACATGCTTTTCTTTCTTTTCTATTGATTTTTATCCAAATATAATTGATTTTATTTTATAACTCTTTCACCTGAAAAACACTTGCTATGGTTTTTTTTTAATATACAATATATTAATCACAACTATTATGAAGTGAGGAATTATAGTTACAATTATGAAAATTCAAATTATTAGCCAAACATTAACTATCTGTTAACAATTTCGTTAGTAATACTGACTAAACTTTTATTTATTAAAGTTATAAATTAAAAGCATTCCGACGTGGTCACTGTTGTGGCCGATGACGTGGCCTTCTCCGTTAAAAATTTAATAACAGTAACGGACAGTTAGCCATATCTTGACCCGCAACAATAGTGGCTAATAATTTAAATTTTCATAGTTGTGAATATAATTTCCCGCTTCATAATAGTTGTGGCTAATATATTGTATTTACCTTTTTTTTCTGCCCCAAATTTCATGTTCTTTTTACTTGTTTTATGAAGCTTTCCTATGAAATTATTTGTTTATTTTCAGTAGGCATATCTACGGTTGGAAAGAAAACCTATCAAATTGGGTATCCACCCGAAATCGAATCAGTCAATGATGACACTCTATTTATAGTGTTTGTCACTCCATATTTGATACATTTATATCTTCAATCAATGCATCTTTAGTAGTTTCTATTATATTTCATATGAAATTCATAAATATTTAAATAATGAGCTTATCATAGACCTTGTGTGTTTTCTACTGTATTACACATTTTGTGTTGTTTTGTGTTTCTCAAGAATATAACACATACAAGACGATTCTGGATTACCAATGGACTCAATGGATCAGAAGGAGGACGATTTTACAAGCTCATGGGCTTAAACGGAGATGGATTTGGACATTGGATGCTCACTATATGAAAAAAACAAGCAGATCTAGTAGTAAAACATGTCCATCTTTGACTTAGGCTCACGAGAGATTTTCCTACTAACCGCCTCTACAAATTGGAGGTGTTACTTGGACCATAAGCAAACCATTGCACCAGAAAACAGAGCAGTGAGGCAACATCGGTTCAACCCGCCGCTCGTGCCCTAGCTCTCCAGAAGCTTCTAGAACCAGCCTACTTCATTCACAAGTCGAAGGAATCCGAGTTCAAGTCGTACAAGGAAAGTTTTGGTCGACTTTAGGAGGAAAAAGAATTAAACCCCCTCTTGTGTAACTAGTACAAATAGAAGGCTAGACTAGAACTTTAGAACACACCTTTTACCAACATTTTGCCCCAGGACACTTGTTAGAAATCTATAGAAAGGAGGTGAAGCCCTACTAGAACCTAGAAATATATGCCCTGAACTCGTCTAGTATACCAAATACCCAATAACCCCTCCCGCCTACCCCTGACCTTTCGTCAACCACTCGCCCTCACATCTGTCAGCACAACATCAACAATCAGCCTCGACAGTCGCCCGCACGTTTGAGCTTCCCCCAAGCCCCAATTCCACGTTCCGTCGTTCCAAATTACTATTCTCATTCTTAGTCCTCTCGAGTCTCGACTCCTCATCTTCTCCAATCAATGACCAATCCTCCTCGCCGTCGACTCTTAGTTCTCCATTAAGTGAGTTTTTCTCAAGAAGGTTGCATATTTCTCATCACTTTGGCAACCAAGTGCAACAACAGAGAACCACATCCTGCTTTGGTGCCTCCCTCAATATATAACCTCTAATACAGTCAGGTTAGGTTTCTAATTTCCACCTCTTCTTTTCCTGCTACTGCTAAATCCATAACAATTGAAATTGATGAGACCCTTCAATGAACAATTCAATTCAATTTGATTTCGTGAGTTTGTTTTCTATAAGTTCAATTTCGAGGTTCATTGGTCCTCCCCTGAGTAGTTCAATTCCATAAATGTTCAATCCGATTTCATGAGCTTTATTTCTAGGTTCATCGACGAGACCCTAAGCCTCCGTTGAAATTAACCAAACCTCCCCTCCCCAATTTCAATCTTCCTCTTTTGTGTCTTTATTTTTCAGGGTCGAACTTTGTATTGCATGTTGGAGTAGTGTTGTGTACTTCCATGAGAAGAAGACGACATGAGGCAGGAGGTCGTAAAAATCAATATGGTTGTATTAGTTGATCTGGATTTTTCCTAAAATTTTACTTCTAACCATTTAAACAAAAAAATCATTTTTTTGTGTTGAAGGGAGGAGGTAGAACTAAATTTGTTTGTTTTGTGAGTTGAGTTTTCCCTACTGTTGATATGTTTCCCCTAAAAGTCTACTTGTTTACATTTTTTAAAGATCAATATCTTGATGTTGGAGGCATGAGATAAATATCAATATATTTGTACTAGTCGATCTTAGTTTTCCCTACAACTATCGTTGTTCTATATTATAAATCGATTATTGTTGCCCACTACAGATGAACATCATGAATGAATGATGATTCTTGCTTCTGTATACCATATGTTGTTGTTTTCCCATATAGCTTGATTTATAAGTCTAGTGAAATGAACGAATGATAATTATTGTTGCCACATTCATTAGGAACTAATATTTACATTTTCATGTACAACTGTAGGTGAAAAATGGCTCAAGAGACTGCTACTACTAATGCAGAACCACAAAATCAGGATGCTGTTGCTACTAATCCACAATCACAAAATCCCGAACCCACACCTTTGGTGATGATGAAGAGGTTTTTGAATTGGGGAACCTCAAAAGTAACATGTGGAGACACTTTACAAAGATAAAAGGAGAATTTTGATGATAACGCTATGATTTTGAGTTATTTGAAAGATATGTGATAATGCTCTGAAACCAAGTACCCCACTGCCAATATGTTCTTTCGAAAGATATGTGAAGCTCAAATTTTTTGAGTGGCTCATTGATGATAAAGCTATGATTTACAATATGGCTGAATTGATGTGAGATAAGTTCATAAAATATTGGGATGGTATTCATGAAATACTAGTAGTGGTTGTTGTGTTAGACCCAAGATATAAGATTAATATCAAGGAATATTATGCTCTGAAGTTTGGAATGCGTCACTGTGTGCTGGATGTGGTCAAAATCAGTTTCATTTTGAGTTATTTGATCATGGAATATCAGTCTACATTGAATAAAAAGGTAGGGGTTCCTTTTGGTGGTTCGAGTGATAAGTCACTTGGTGGTTATTTTTCTGTGGATCTCGCCTTTCAGTAATATGCACAACAAAGGAAAAAGTTGGGGAAAACACCTAGTCAAACTAAATTGGAGAATTATTTGAATGAGTGCACACTGTGGTGACATGCACACAATAGATGGCTCAGAGCAACCGTCTATAGCACCGTAATCAACTATCCCAAAGATAGGCTCTACGTATCCTTTTCCAACCCCAAGCGAGAATTTCCAATCATTCTTGGTAACATTACGCAACATTAAGGGCTCGTTTGCTTGTTGGATTTGAAAATGAGGGTTTTGAGTTTTAAAAACTTTTGGATTATGATGGATTTGTTGCATTGTGGATTTGTAAGAGTGCATTGTTTGTTAGTTGATTTTTTATCATGGCTTTATGATGGATTTGTCTCACATGTTGCCTTCATTTTTTCAAATCCCAAATAAAATGTGGGATTTGCAAATTCGTGGGGTCAACGGATTTGGATCTAAAAAAGTGGTTCAAATACGTAGGCCCCACGAATTTGTGTCCATTAGCAAACAATGAATTTGTGTCAATTCCATGATGCTTGGCATTTGGGTGCGTCACACAAATCCCACAAACAAACGATACCTAAGTTTCACCATTTTAGTTTGTTTCTTCACATCAAAGTCAAAATGACTCTTAATCCATAATAGGGGAATGTTGGGACAAGAATCCTCAGGATGTAAGGAAGCTGACACTTTACACAAGAGCAGCTCCCAATGTCCCTGATGCCTACACAATCAAAGCCCGGCCTAGTGTTCTCTATTCTCTATAGATGCTCAAGCAAAGGTTAGATTCTTTCCCCCCTTGACTTCAATCTCTCATTGTTGTTCACTAACAGGTTAATTGACTAAAAAGTTGAGAACACTCTCTGCATCTTTGGCCAGACTGTAGAAATCGTGAAGTTTCAAGTGGATTTTGGAGAAAAGATCCTACTCGGAGTTATCAATGCTGCATTGAACCAAGAGTACTTCTTCGTTGTTGCCAACCACAAGCTCACAATCATGGAAGCAGATGATTCTTATACCAAACTTTTCACAACCTTTGTCATAATGGTTGGCCCATGCCAAACCACCAATGTCCTCTTGAAGGCCAACCAAATCCCTAACCGGTACTACATGGCAACTCGAGCCTATCAGAGATCACAAAATGCAGCTTTTGACAACACAACTACAAGTGCAGTTCTTGAGTACAAGTATGCTCCTTGCAATGCTAAGAACAAGAAGCAGAAACCATTCCCTTCAACTCCAATTCTCTCACAGCTTCTGGCTTTCAACGAGACCAACACAACCTAGATATTCCTTTCCCAGGTGAAGGGCCTTAAATCCAAGGGGAAAGTGTCGACCAAGGTCGGAACTAGCTTGTTCTTCATGGTGGTCCTAAGACTGATCAACAACACGAATCCAAATAGTCCTCTTCCCTTCTGATGGCTCCTGGTCGGGGTTGGATGTCAGTCGACTAGGCATTCTATGATAGGTTACTACATTCAGTTAAGAGGTGCTCTAGTTTCTTGTCATGCTAAGAAGTAACGAGTGGTGGCGCACTCTTCGGCAGAGGCTGAGTATATTGTTATGGCCAACGATAATAGTGTATTTATATGGCTTTGCTTCCTCCTCGATGAGTTAAGAGTTCTGCAGCGAGCCCCTAATATTCTCTACAACGACAATCAAGCAGCTCTACACATTGCGACTAATCTGGTTTTTTTATTAACGGACCAAACATGTGGAGATGGACTGTTATTTTTGTACGAGATCATGTACTCTCTAGGGAACTCCTACCGCACAAGGTGTATACCAGCTCTCAACTGGCAGACATTTTCACTAAGACATTTTGCACATATTAGTTTCATACTTTTTTGTCCAAGTTTGACATTTGTAACCTTCATGCTTCAACTTAAGCGGGAGTATTAGACATGGAACCCGTAACCCGACCGACTCAACAAAAACTTCACCTAATCCACTTGAATAATTATTATAATATACAATACATAGTTTTCAAAATAAAGTTTTTCATTCTAAACTTAAGTAAAATTATTTTTTCATTTCGTATAGGAAATTTAAAAAATATAAACTCACTTGATATTATGTATTTTAAGAAAATTACAAAAATTGAAACATGAAGGTCACTTGAACACTAAGTTCTTTAACAAAATTAAAAAAGTAAATATAAAATATAAAATCAACATAATGTCAATATTAATAATGGAGAATTAATAATTGAGATCATGGAAACTATTAATATAATATATAAATTAAAATTTTGGTTAATTTAACTATTCAATAAAATTATCAATTAAATATAAATAAATTAAATTAATATTTTTGGTAATTTGATGTTTTTAAAAGAAGAAAGAAATTTTGGTGTATTCAACTTTTTTGGGAAAAGAAAGAAGAGAGAAATTTTGGTTCTTTAAATTTTTTTAGAAAAAAAACAAGTGGGAAATTTGGTGATTTTGATTTGTGAGAAGAGAAAAAAAATGGAAAAGTTTGGTTCTTTTGATTATGAAAGAGAAATAAGGAGAGAAATTTTGAGTTTTCAACTTTCGTGGAAGGAATGAAGAAAGAGGAAAATTTGGTTCTTTCAATTTTGTGGAAGAGAAAGAGGAGGAAAAATTGAGTGTTTCTAATTTATGGAATGAGAAAGAAGGAGGAATTTTTTTTTTGTGAAAAGAAAGAAGGAAACAAATTTGGTGTTTTTAATTTTTGGTTTTTCAAAATTTTAGCCTTTGAAATATGAATCTTTAATTTTTATATGGAGGGCATGACTAGTTAAATTTATTCTTATAAGCTTTGAAGGCTAATATATATGCGTGTGTATGTAATTGTTTATGGGCTAATAAATAAATTAACTATTAGTTACAACAATTATACTAAACTTGATAAGTAATCTTTGACGGTTCGTTGTTTATGGTATAAAGTATATGGTTAAAGTGTAGGGTATAAGGTACAGATGGTTTAGAGTGTATATAGTTAGGGTATAAGATATTGATGGTTTTACTGTTCTAAGTTTTTTTTATTCACATATGTTCACTGGAAGTCATTTGAAGTCTTTAATGGCAGGAGATCCCTTTTTAATTTATGTTTATGGTATGTGATTAGGGTACACGATATGTGGTGTAGAGTATAGGATATATGGTTAGGGTATAGCAATTAGCAAATATCACTTTTAATTTTATCTATGTTTTGAAAATCAAAGTATGAATTTCACTTTTGAATTAACTATACTAGCAAAATCACAACTCATAAGGACATGTGGTTAGGGTATAGGGTATAGGTTATGTGGTTAGTGTATAATGTATTGATGGTTTAGGATATACAATCAACAACATATACTAACTTAATATTGTCGATTGAGGGTATGTCTAAGTGTATAGGATATATGTTATTGAGTAAGTTTTGATTGAAGTCACAATAATTTTACTAAATTTGATAGTTAATCTTTAATGGTTCAATTTTTAGGATAATTCGAACAATTTTACAAATAACTCGTTTGGCAACAGTTTACTACAGTTATTTGGGCAATGAGTTATTTCGAAATAACTCCTTTTATCACTCTGCTTTTGCCAAATATCACACGCCAAATATCAGATTTGCATTATTATACTAAACGAGATACTTTAAATCAATTACTACTGAAATAATACTAAAATATCAAATAAACAATTAATGGTGTCTTTTGGTTGCAAATATTGATATCACCATTACTATTACCTAGTGTACTTTACCAATTATGATTAATTACATAAAAAATTTGCAAGTCAGACAAATTGATTTAACATTTTGACTAGTTTTTTCAAAAAAAAATTAAGTATATATATACGAGGTAGAAATAAATTCGCTAAAAAGTTGAGAAAAATATTTTAAATTAGTATAATAAAATGTGTAAGTTGGTAACGAGTATTGAGTAAGTTACTCAATGCGCTGGCCCGAACAACCCAAAACCCGATCTGCCCGCAAACCGCCCGACCCAAAACTCGATGAACCCACAACCTGATTTGCCCTCAATCTGATTGAACCTGAACTCGATGAACCCGCAACCCGATTGAACCCGAACCCGCAACTCGACTAACCCGCAACCCGTTTGAACCCAAACCCGATTGAACCTAGCCCGAACTCGCGCTATTGACACCTATAATTGTAGCTTCTTCTCCTTTACATGATTTGATCACACTTGCTAATGATTGGCTTGGATTTTCAGAGTCTTGATATTTGTTTGTTTGGATTTTTTAGTTTCTTGAAGGTTGTAGCGTTCTTCTTTTGTTTCAGAATGTTTTACTATTAGGTTCTGTAGTCCCAAGGGGAGATCAATCGCTCAAAAATTAAATTTGAGGTTTGCTCACATCACTGCAGATCTTGAAGTCATTCCAATTCATATATACAATTAGCGATACTCATTTCTTTGCGTTTGAGTTCAGGCAATGATATGATCCCAAATTGCCCACCATTCACGTCACAATTACTTGACAAAGAAGCTATCAAAGTTGGGAAGAAGAAAGGCAGAATTTGGCTAAGTCAAAATCCGTGTTCAGGGTACATACTTTGGAGGCATGGTTCTCTCAATTGGCTTGGTGGAAATTCAAGTTTAAGCTTTGGTTTTACAGATAAAGTTACCATGTTTCCAATGGTATACTTTTTAGATCCAGAAGAGGTCATTAAGGTTGTTTTCCAAGGCCTCAAAGTTGCTACCTCAAAACTGGAAAACTGCCAGAAAATGACTAAGGCAGAAAACTGTTTTGTGAAGCCTACTTTGGAGCTCAATTCAAGGAGCATGGATGGGATTCATGTCAAAAGGCTTCCACAACATGAAACTAGGTATGTGTGTGAACAAAGGACTTTAAATACCGTTCTATGTACGTTGTAAAACATAAGACTTTGATTAATCGAAAAACCTTTGGTTTTGTGCAAGTTGCGACTTGTTTGAGTTTGGTGGATTCCAAGCTTGTGAGCTTTGTATCGATTGAATATCCTCTTAAATCGTGGTCGAGCAGCTACCCTTTTATACCATACGAGCTTTCCCTAGGTGTGGAATTGTTCGTTGGTTCCGTTTTATCCCAAGTTCGTATTAAGAGCGTTTCGTTCTTGATTCGAGCTCAATCGATTCTTCGATTGAGTCGTTGCTGCGTTACTTTGATAAAAATACACCCTCCAGGGTCGTATTAAGTGGTATCAGAGCCCCGTTCAAATCAGTGGACAGGAGAAGAAGAGTACAGCTTTCTGCGAGCTCCGACAATGGCAGAATTTGAGCAAGGTAACCTGACTTCTTACACTCGCTATTTGGTGGGAGAGAAGGTGTGCTCTGTGTACGATAATGGTGAGAGCCAATCGAACTTGATTAGCTCACGAGTAGTGGCTAAATTGGGGCTGTCGACTCGAAAATATCCAGCTCCTCATTCGGTGTCATTGCTGGAAACAGGAAGCTCTGTTTTCATAACAGAGGAGGTGACCTTACAGTTCCGGATTGGAGGCTACGAGGATGAGGTTCGGTGCGACGTGGTTCCTCTGAAATCGACTCATATAGTGCTGGGTAATCCTTGGCACGTCGATCGTTGTGCTCGACGGAGCAGAAGAATGAACCACGTCAGATTGTGGCATTGTGGGAAGATTTTCGCCCTCAAGCTTATGTCGCCATGAGAAGCTGCTGAAGATCGAGCCACCCTACTGCAACAATTCCGCGACGAGGAGGAACAAGCTACGGCAGTGGAGACTTCAACTGTGGAGCCGCCGTTGAAGGAGTCGGAGTGCCAGCGTGTTGAAGAAGACCAACTCGTCGGAGCTGAAGACCCCTGTTATCCGACGAATTTGCAGATGATTCACTCGAAGCAAGTCGACGTCGATCTGTGGAACAATTCGACGGACGTCGCTGCCCGTGATAGTCTTATTGAAGACGACGGAAAGCTACTCCCAATATCTGGTTCCCACGCCAGGAAGGATTTATGGCGACCAGAACCTGCAGAGTGTCGCGACTATGTTTTTTCACCGTTAAAACAGAGGGCCCCGACAGCTCTCGTGGCTGGAGCAAACGGCGAAGAATCGAAACTCGTCGAGAGTGCTGACATGATCTCTACGAACCCAGAAGCGTCAAAATCCAGTTCATTGGAAGTGGTATCAGAGCCTGGTTTGGGAAGAAGAAGGCCGACCAAGACCCCTTATTGTGCAGGGTTCTCCAGGTCGATTTGAGACAATTCCGCGCCGTAGAATCATTAATGGGGATGCAAGGAACGTGTAGGATTCATCAATTCGACTCGAATAGGCTCGGATGGAAAAACCCCAAATTCGACTTTGAAAATCTGGGTTTGAAATTCGCCGACGGCGGGAATGGAAGAGGAGAGGATTCGAAGGCGAAGGCGATGATTCATGACTGGAAAAGTGACCCAAACTTCAATTGGAAGCCTGGAGAAGAGTGTGGAGTCGATGAATTGTGCTGGGGATCCTCGAAACAAAAAAGCCCAATTTGGTTGAGGAAGTTGATATGCAAGGAGGAAGTCCGACGACGTGATGGCTGTTTCGATCAGGTTCAGGCGAAATCAATCGTTTATGAAGGTTTATTTCAACCCCATAAAGTGTTTCAAACCACATTGCAAGTTCCAAACCTGCTGGATGCGATCGATTATGAATTTGAAGCTGCTACGGTTAAGCCAAAGACTGCGTTTGAGCAGCCTTCTTTCGATCCAATTTGGGATCAATTCTGTGAACGGTTTGAGCAACGAAAGGCTAAAGTGTTGAGGGCAACACTTTTTCAAGAGGGGGGGCCTGATATGATCCCAAATTTCCCACCATTCACGTCACAATTACTTGACAAAGAAGCTATCAAAGTTGGGAAGAAGAAAGGCAGAATTTGGCTAAGTCAAAATCCGTGTTCAGGGTACATACTTTGGAGGCATGGTTCTCTCAATTGGCTTGGTGGAAATTCAAGTTTAAGCTTTGGTTTTACAGATAAAGTTACCATGTTTCCAATGGTATACTTTTTAGATCCAGAAGAGATCATTAAGTTTGTTTTCCAAGGACTCAAAGTTGCTTCCTCAAAACTGGAAAACTGCCAGAAAATGACTAAGGCAGAAAACTGTTTTGTGAAGCCTACTTTGGAGCTCAATTCAAGGAGCATGGATGGGATTCATGTCAAAAGGCTTCCACAACATGAAACTAGGTATGTGTGTGAACAAAGGGAAGGAATTGGATGAAGAATTGGAGTTCGGGAAGGCCTTCAATAAAAGGCGCGAAGTTAGTACAAAAGCTGCCTTTTGACTGTTTTCCGGGCAGCTTACTTGTGCTTGAAGAAAGAGAGTTTAAATCCGAATTTTGTGTCCTTTTTAGTGTAGACTTTTACCTTATTTGTTTCCTTGTTCATCTAGATTTGTATTAGGTTTTATTTGCCTTTAAATACCGTTCTATGTACGTTGTAAAACATAAGACTTTGATTAATCGAAAAACCTTTGGTTTTGTGCAAGTTGCGACTTGTTTGAGTTTGGTGGATTCCAAGCTTGTGAGCTTTTTATCGATTGAATATCCTCTTCAATCGTGGTCGAGCAGCTACCCTTTTATACCATACGAGCTTTCCCCAGGTGTGGAATTGTCCGTTGGTTCCGTTTTATCCCAAGTTCGTATTAAGAGCGCTTCGTTCTTGATTCGAGCTCAATCGATTCTTCGATTGAGTCATTGATGCGTTACTTTGATAAAAATACACCCTCCAGGGTCGTATTAGGCAACAAATTTGAGACAACGAGTATCGTCATGTATGGTATGGCAACGGATAGAACAGAAACGCATACCACACCTCACCCATGTATAGGTGGAAGGAAACCCACAGACAGTACAGAAATGTTTGCGGCATGTAGAACTTGGAGGCCCTACTACTGCTCTTAAGTAAGATGGAACTTGAGGTGGCAAAGAATCCAGATTTGCCTGTTTGTTTTAAGTAAGAACATCAAGGACACTTTGTTTAGAAAACTTATCAAGGTGAAAACATAGAACATGAAGAAAAAAGTCATTACACACTTGTTACCTCGTGTAAAAGCTCAAGAAAGTTTCTTGGTGGTTTCCTAGCATTCTCAAGTGCCTTTGCTTGTCGAGTTTTGCGTTTAGTACCTTTGGCCTTCTTCTGAACATATCCTGATATAGGAAATGGAAGAACCTTGTTAATGAGAAAATCAATTGATTAGAATGCAAGGATCGAGTCTATTTCTTAAGGATTAGGAATCCAAACGGACTAGAATGAATCTTAAATTACTAAATAGGAGCAATATTAGTAGATGGAGACCTATCCCATCTCTGCTGAACTGAACTGCTGAAACAAGACACGTTAGGGCAAAGGACGAGCCTGTTGGGGATTAGCGGAAGAGTGGTAATTTTGGATCAAGACAAAGGAAACATTTGGTGTTTAATCACTCAATTTATAATTCACTCAAACAAACATAACCTTAACTTTTGGCTTATGTTTTAATCAATCAAGACACACTTAGAAAATAAACACACACGGCAAGCTTTTCCTTTGCCCACTCTTTCTTTTTGATTTCTCTGACACTACTATCTGTGCATTCCCATACATACATCACACATATATTTATATAATTGAAAGCTAATATACTAATAATGCAAGTTTCCCCATCTCTCTTCCATGCATTTACGTTGGGAACATGTTGATAATGGAATTGGCCTACTTGCTTCTTATCAATTTGCTGGATGTGGGACTGCAAGTTTATTCAATCGGTTGGCATGCTTTCTCATCATCTTTACTTGGTGTATTATTTGATAGTTGCTCCTCCATGTGCTGCTGCTCCATGTCAACTTTAGATGCATAATGTGATAGGTAGTTTCAACCAATGAAGTAATAGATTTGTCTCTTGAGATTATTGTAGTGGGCTCACTTTGTTGGTGATAATTGCAAATTACCATTTGACACCCCCTCTTAATTTGCAATTTGGAGTAGCTCCTTGAACTTTTCGAACTTCTCACGGGTGACCGCCTTTCTCATGATATTTGTTGGCTGGTCATCAGTGTTGATAAATTCCATAATGATTAACCCTTCATTGACGAGGTCTCGGATGAAATGATGACGCAACTCGATATGCTTCGATCTTGCGTGAAATACTGGATTCTTTGTCATGGCTATGGATGACATGTTGTCACAATGAATAATGGTTGGACCATTTTCATTTTGCTGCAAATCAGAAATTAATCTTTTTAGCCATACCGCTTCGCATGCTGCATCTGTAGCTGCGAGATATTCTGCTTCCGCTGAAGATAATGCCACAGTCTTTTGCTTCTTTGAACTCCAGGAAATGGGGTTTGAACCCAGGCAGAATATATACCCCGATGTGCTTTTTCGATCATCCAGTGATCCTGCCCAGCCACTATCGGTAAATCCATTCAGCTTGCTTTCTGCTTCTTTCTTGTACATCAGGCCCAATTTCTTTGTACCTTGAAGATACCACAAAATTCTTTTGACTGTTGCAAAATGGAGTTTGCTAGGTTCATTCACAAATCTTGATATAAGACTTACTAAATGACATATATCCGGCCTAGTATGTGTCAGGTAAATGAGTGACCCGACAAGACTTCTATACAGCTTTCCATCGACTTTTTCAGCTCCATCATTGCGTTGCAATTTCTCGTTCAACGCCATCGGTGTTGAGATTGGTTTGCATATTGCCATGTGAAATCTTTTGAGCATATCCTCGGTGTACTTCTCCTGTGAAATAAATATTTCTCCAGGCGACTGCTTCACTTGGATCCCAAGAAAATACTTCATGAGTCCCAAGTCCGTCATCTCGAATTCTTTCATCATGGTACTTTTGAATTCTTCGATCATATGCTGATTTATACCTGTGTAAATCAAGTCATCAACATATAAACAAACCATTAGAAAATCTTTTCCTTCTCCCTTTTTGATGTAGAGAGATGCTTCACTCGGACTTCTTTGAAATCCGTTTTGCTGAAAACATCGATCAATTCAGCTGTTCCAGGCTCTCGGTGCTTGATTTAGCCCGTATAAAGCCTTTCGGAGACGATAAACTTGGTCTTCTTCTCCTTTTTTCTCATAGCCTCGTGGTTGTTCCACATAGACTTCTTCTTCTAGTTCTCCATTCAGAAATGCTGATTTGACATTCAGCTGGTATACTGGCAACTCCAGTTGAGCAGCTAGAGCGAGAACTGTTCTGATGATCTCCATCCTCGCTACTGGTGCATATGTCTCATAAAAATCAATACCGGGCTGCTGTGGATAGCCCTTTGCCACCAGTCGAGCTTTGTACTTCTGGATAGAACCATCTTCATTGAATTTGATTTTATAGATCCATTTGAGACCTATAACCAGCCTGTCCTCCGGTTGATCAACAAGCTCCCATGTCTTGTTTTTCTCGATCATGGAAATTTCTGCATCCATTGCCTCGTTCCAAACTTTTTCTTTGGCTGCTTCTTCAAAAACTTGAGGCTCACAAGAAAAATATGCAACATGACTTGTTTCATAAATTTCTCGCAAAGACCTTATTCTCAACGGAGGTGAATCCGAGTCTGTTACGACGTCTCTGAAGTTGTCTCCTTCTAGGCTAGGTGCATAATTTCTTTGTGGACTTGCAACTGGGTCTGGTTTGTTGCTGGGGTCTTCTGGATTTGCTGAGTCCTCCAGAATTTCATAACTTGGTGGAGATTGAGAAATTGGATTTTCCCAATTCCACTTTGCCATCTCATCAAAGATCACATCTCGGGAAACCACCACTTCGTTCTTTACTGGGTTGTAAAGACGATAGCCTTTGGACTCATCACTGTAGCCGGTGAAGATAAGCTTTTCTCCCTTCTGGTCAAACTTGTCTCGGTTTGGGGTAGAGATATGTGCATAAGCTATGCACCCAAAGACTTTGAGGTGGTGCCACGCGTGTATCGGTGTCTTGTTCCGAACTGCTTTGGTTGGTGATTTGTTGAGGATGTAAATTGTTGTATTGACCGCTTCTGCCCACAAGTTGTTGGGAAGCTTCTTAGCTTTGAGCATACTTCTCGCCATCTCCACAATTGTGCGGTTTTTCCGTTCTGCCACGCCATTTTGTTGTGGTGTGTAACGGACCGTCAGCTGCCTTTTGATTCCGTTGTTGCGGCAATACTCCATGAACAGAGTATAAATAAATTCTCCTCCGCGATCTGTACGGAGAGTTTTGATTTGATGGCCGCTTTCCTTCTCAGCTGATGCTTGGAATTGAAGGAACTTGGGTAAAGCTTCTGACTTTTGCTCCAGAAAGAATACCCACATCATCCTGGTGAAGTCATCTACAAATAGTAGAAAGTATCTTTTGCCGCTGAGTGATTGTGTTCGGGTTGGACCGCATATGTCTGCATGTACCAACTCAAGTGGCGCTTTTGCTCTCCAAGATGTTTTTAGAAATGGTAAACGATGCATTTTGCCATAAATGCATCCTTCACAGATCTTGTCTTTTCTGTTGATCAGGGGAAGTCCGACCATAATATTTTTCTACCTTAGCAATTTGAGGCCCTTGAAGTTGAGATGACCATATCTGAGATGCCATAGGAAGGATTGATCCAAATTTTCACTCTTGAATGCTACTTCACCATTTTGTAACATTGCAAGAGAGAAAATTCTGTTGGAAGTCATCGGGACTTTGGCCACTATGAAATTGTCAACTTTGTTGATAATCTCGCACACGCCATTGTCAAACAATAGCTTGTAATTTTTTAGCATCAGTTGTCCCACGCTAAGTAGATTGAGAGTTAGCTCCGGAACATACAAAACATCTCGAATGAGAGTTTTGTTGCCTTCTTCTGTGCATACAACAACTGTGCCTTTTCCTTCCACTTTTAGCTTGTTTCCGTCTCCCAACTTGACTTGAGAGCGGTATTTTTCATTGATGTCGGTGAAGGACTCCAGATCTCCAGTCATGTGGTTACTGCAACCACTATCCACCATCCAGGGAAGCTGTGACTTTTGCTCACCATTCAAGCATGATAAGGCCACCATATTGCTTTCTTCACTTTTGGTGCCACTTGACTCGCCTTCTTCTTGATTGTTCTGGAACCAGCAATCTCTCTGGGAGTGGTTTTCACTTTTGAACTTGGTGCACTTGAATCTGCAGTCTTTTATTGCATGACCCGCCTTTTTTCAAATTATGCAACTCGAGCCGGTGTAGCCCAATCTTTGTTGTTGATAATTTTGTCTGTTGTTTCCTCTGTAATTGGATCTTCCTCTTCCTCTTCCTTGTGAGTTTCCCCCTCTCTGGCCTTGCTCCGATTTGGCATATTTACTTTCCGTCATGTTGACTTTTGACGAGAAAGCTTGCTCCAATGGCGGTTTGGTGAATCGGCTCATTCTTTGCTCATGTGCTACAAGTGAGCCAATCAACTCGCTCATTGATAGATTTGCCAAATCTTTGGTTTCTTCTATAACAGCAACAATATGCTCGAACTTTGATGACAAACTGCGGAGAATTCTCTCCACAATTTTTCTTTCTTCCATGACGTCACCGGTGGCTTTTATCTGGTTGACTGTCTCCGCCACATGCGAATGGAAGTCTTTGATGGTGTCGATTTCCTTCATCATCAAGTTGTCGAACTGTCGCCATAAACTTTGTCGCCTGATGGAGATCGCCTTTTCAGAACCTTGAAATTATTCACGCAAGACATCTCAAGCTTCTTTGGCTTTTTTGATGCCATAGATTCTGGGGTAAATTGATTTGCTCACTACTTGCTGAATGATTCTCAAGGCGCTGGCATTTTGCTTGGCATTCTCCTTGTACTCCTTTGTCTGCTTGCCTGCTCGTTTTTTCGAGTTTTCATCCTCGTCTTGTGGATCTTCATATCCTTCTTGGACGATATCCCACTGATCTTGAAAGATGAAAATTGGCTCCATTTGGCCACTCCAGTTCTCGTACAATTCTCCATCGAAAATGGGAATTTGATTAGAAGAGGTAGCAAACATGGTGTTTGAGGAAGTTGTTGCCATGGATTTTTGAGAAAATTTGTGTAGGCTAGAAATTTGGGGATTTTGGAGAGGATAGAAAGGTATTAGCTCTTATACCAAATTTATTGGGAATTAGCGGAAGTAGTGGTAATTTTGGATCAAGACAAAGGAAACATTTAGTGTTTAATCACTCAATTTATAATTC